GTGTGTGTGGGTGTGTGTGTGTGCGTGTGTGTGCGTGTGTGTGTGTGTGTGTGTGTTTCTGCAGGACTGCTCCTCCTCTGAGCAGTGCTGCACTAATGTGTGTGTGTGTGTGTGTGTGTGTGTGTGTGTGTAGGTATGGAGGAGTCTCACTGTGAGCGTACAGAGTATCTGAGCTCGTATGGTCTGGATGTGGACTCCATCACACTGATCCCGGGATCCTCTGGCAGAATCGGCCCTAAAAGCACCAACACAGCCTGTAAGACACACACACACACACACACACACACTCACACTCAAGCAGCCGCAGGTGTGTGTTCACTCATGAGTGTTTCTGTATGTTTCAGATGACCCGAAGGAGATCGTGGCCAATCTGACAGTAAGTCTGAATCAGGTGTGTGTGTGTGTGTGCTGTTTGTGTGACCTTTGACCTCTTGACCTCTTGACCTCTTCTGCAGTGTAAGATGCCCAATCAGCACTTCACGCCGTACCTGAAGCAGCACCTGCCCAAACGCCTGCATTACGCCAACAACAGACGCATCGAGGACGTGCACCTGCTGATGGAGCGCAAGTGGCACGTGGCCATGTGTGTACGAGTGTGTGTGTGTGTGTGTGTATGAGAATGTGCAAAAGTGTGTGTAACCATGCACAGTTTTTGAATTATTGTTTGTGACAGTGCACATGCGTGTAGTGGAGTGTTTGACTGCAGATGTGTGGTACCAGACATGTGTGTGTTTGAGACTGTGTGAGACTGCATGTGTGTGTGTGAGAGTGTGTGTGTGTGTGTGTGTCTGTATGTGAATGAGTGTACATCTGTGTATGTGCATGTGTGTGTGTTCTGAGTCCAGTCCTCATTAGTAGTGTGTTTATGCACGTCAGCGCTCAAACAGAACAGAACATCCAGACGCACAAATGAAGCTGGACGGCGCCGAGCTGATGATGATGATGATGAAGGAGAAGAAGATAATGAAGATGAATACTTTTGACAGAATACACATCAATTACAGGACTTTCTGTCTATTTTAAATGATGGTCAGCTTACACCTCACAGCATGAAGGTCTCTGGTTCGAGTCCCGGCTGGGTCAGTTGACATTTCTGTGTGCAGTTTGCATGTTCTCCCTGTGTTGGCGTGGGTTTCCTCTGGGTGCTCCGGTTTCCCCCACAGTCCAAACACATGCGCTATAGGGGAACTGATCAACTAAACTGGCCGTAGTGTATGTGTGTGTGTGTGTGTGTGTGTGTGTGTGTGTGTGTGTGTGTGTGAGAATGAGTGTGTATGGGTGTTTCCCAGTACTGGGTTGCAGCTGGAAGGGCATCCGCTGCTTAAAACATAAACTGGAATAGTTGGCGGTTCATTCCACTGAGACTAAGCCAAGGGAACTGAATGAATGATTATAAAGAAGTGAAATGATTGACTGTGAAATATTTACCCAATTTTAAGCTGAAGTATTGTATTGGTTATGCTGCTATACTAAGTACAAAAATAATAATAATAAAATAAATAATAACAACAACAACAAAAAAAATTATAAATAATAATAATAAAATAAATAATAATAGCATTAAAATAAATAATAATAATAAACTAATAATAATAATAATAATAATAATAATAATAAATAATAATCCAAAATAATAATAATGATAATAAATAACAATAAAAACTATAATAATACTAACAATAATAATAAATAATAATAATGATAATTAAATAATAACAATAATTAAATAATAAATAATAAAA